CAAAATTTAAATTTTTTTTTTTTTTTTTTTTTTTTTTTTTTTTTTTTTTTTTTTTTTGGTCCTAAAAGTATTTTCTGGACAAGAAAAACAGAATCATTTTTACAAATTCTACTTCCAGATCATTTTGTGGTATTTTTCTGTTTATCAGTGATTAATTTCTCTGATAGGAAATGCTTAGTTTTGTGACTCAAACAAAATCATGAACAAACGGGAGCTTTTCCAACGCCTTTTGTAAAGTTCCTTTAACAAGTTTATTTTCCACTGATGTACATAAATCTGTAAATATTGACCTGAGGTTCTGTTGAAATGTTTAAGGTTCATTGCAGAACATTCAGATCAGTCGGGGGGGGGGGGGATATGTAGCTGCACTCTGGATCTATTTAACCTTCTTCTGCAACTCCACAATAACTCATCCGGCGTATAAATCCATAGTGTTGCCACATTCAGACATACAGCTGGAACTAAAGTCCTGACACAAAGTCCCTGTCAAATAAAGAAACTGTAAATGCTGCTAGTCACATGCCATCATGTTCCACAGCAGAACCGTAAAGACAGGAGGAATCTCCTCACATCTGTTGTTACCACAGAATGCCACCTTGAACTCAGCTTGTTCTCTGCACTCGTCATATTTTCACGTTAAACGCGTTAACTTTGCTCCACCCGTGTCCAGAACGTGTTCCACATGAGACGGATACTACTACACAAAAGTCTTCACTTAAAGAACGCCTTCTGAGCTGAAGGATAACAATCAAACTGTTTTACATCTTAAAGTTAGTTCATTTCCTCTTGAGTCTGTCAAAATGTTAAACCTGTTGGTTTCTTGAACAGATGATGGATTACACAAAGAAACAACATAAACATGTTTTTTTTAAACACCATAGTTTGATTAGGATTACATCTCAGAACATTAGGACATCGTGAAAAAGTTCTCTTTGTTTTGTTCATCATTTCAGAAAGTGAAACTTGCATATTACATAAATTCACTACACAAAGAGTGGAATATTTCAAACCTTTATTCCTTGTAAATTTGATGATTTTAACTTGCAGATAATGGAAAAAAAAACTAATTTCAGTGTCTCAGAGAATGAGAATACAGTAGTCCCTCGTTTATTGCAGGGGTTTCCGTTCTCAGCTCCCACGTGATAAGTGGAAAAACCATGAAGTAGGAATAGTAATACAAGTAGAAAGTAGTAGATTATTTTAGTATAACATGCTTTATTTATATATATATATATATATATATATATATATATATATATATATATATTAAACCCACACTATTGTAATATTCTAAACAATGTTTCTAAACTCTAAGCATTCTAAAAGAGCGCAGCATGTCATGATCGCCGCTGTCTGCCACGGCTGCCCTCTGCCAGTACTCTCGGCCATGCCTACTTCACTGCAGAGCGGAGATCGTGACACACTGCAGGAGGAAGCTTCTCCTGCAGCTGTGGGCTGCACACAGGTGCAGCAGGTGCTAAATAGTTTTAAATTTATTTTTAATTAACAATCTATGCCTATCGTGAGGCTCCTCCATCAATCAGCCAATTGTGTGTCATGTCCAATCTTTCAAAAATGGCAAAAGAGCGAGTCCGTGAAAAATTAACTGCAGAGTAGCGAGGGACTACGGTATTGTGAAGAGACTGAACTTCTGGTGTCACAGCCTGATCATCTGATGAGCTCCTGGACAAGAGCTACAAATGTCTCATTCATCATGTCCAGCCACACCTGGACCAGAGACAACATCAGAAGTGTCTTACCTGCTGAGGAGACAAAGAACTGGACTGTAGCTCAGTGGTCCAACATCCTCTTTTCACATGAAAGATTTATAAATCAAGGTCTTAGAGTCTGGAGGAGGAGTGGAGAGGTCCAGAATCCACATAGTTGAAGTCCAGAGGGAAGTTTCAACAGTCAATGATGGTTTGGGTTCATGTCCTCTGCTTGTGCTGGTCCACTGGGTTCTCTATAAAGTCCAGTCCACGCAGCATCTAGCAGGACATTTTAGAAACTTCATGCTTCTTTCTGCTGACGAGCTTTATGGAGATGCTTGTTTCATTTTCCAGCAGGACTCAGCACCGGCCCACACTGACAAAGGTACCAGAAGCTGGCTGTGGGATGATCTAACATTCTGGCACTGAGTTAGGTTTTTTTATTATCTGTAACTTTTTCACGATATTCTATTTTTTTGAGATGCAGCTGTGTTGACTCAACGACTCAATAAAAAGCACACCATAATTACTGTACAGTATATAGAAAGTGTATCAATATCTTAAGGGGCACGGCTAGCCTGTGCCGGTTCAGATCCCACTGACTAACATCAAATGTGGGTAGGAAAGGTGAAACACCCACACCTGTCTCCACCCTCATTTGCCCCACTCTAGGCCCTTGAGTAAGGCTCAACCCGTTCATCTGCTCCCCCGGGTGTCCTAGATAGCAGCTCTCTGCTCCACACAGGGCTGTGGTAGCTCGGTGGTCTGTGGTTGTGTCAGGAAGGACATCCAGCGTAAAACAGTTTCCAAGTCTTTGTGCGAGTTCACTCCATGTGGCAACCCCAGAATAAGGGAGCAACCAAAATAAGAACAAAAAAATCTATTGTAAGGGATTCAAGAAGCCCTGCAAACACAAACGGCACGCAAAAATAATTTAAATGTGGCAATCAAATGGATCCCAGCTCGTCTTGGCTTAGTGGAGATATGCTGCAGACCAGTTAAGATCAAAGAACCCCACAGCAGATGGAGCCATTTGGTTTGAACCATCTCTGCTTTCTTATTTTATATTTTATGGGATGAGTTTCCAGGAAGCTAACTCTGGCGAACATGAAACTCCAGGGTACATGTATAAATTACAGTCGAATAGAATGTTCATATTAGAATATAAGATAAATATTAAGGGCAATAAATATTATAATGTATCTTTAGCAAAGGTTCAAAATAAAGTTCCCATGAAAACCACTGAAACACTGTCCTGTTTAGCTGTGATCATTTTATTCACTTTTCTGTTGAATACAGAGACGATGACATTTTTATTTACTTTTTAACAAAGTACGGCAGTTCAGTGGCAAAGCAACGTGAAAGCTTCTGTCTGATGATATATATAATTGATTTTTATGACCTTGTAAAAAAAAGAGCCCAAACAGATGCAAAAGACCAGAAATCCAGACATAAAATACCAACTTTGTTATTAAAATGGTGTCAAACACGTCACACTGAAAAAGGTACAAGAGAGAGGAGGTCAAAGCAAAACAAATTCATGTTTCCAGAGAACACTGATGGATGAACATCATTCAAAAAAGTGCTCACATTTACTTACTTTTCTAAAAAAAAAAAAAAAAAGAGTCCGTAAACACCAACTTTATAGCCAATGTTTACCCATCTAAGTATTTATATGTACACTGTCTGCTCAGGATACGGTCTATGAAAAAAGACTTGTGGCTCAAAAATAGAACAAAGATGCAAAATTTTAGTATAAGAATGGCACTTAAACCAGCAGCTGATGTCACCGTGGATAAGTTTGTTGCTTATAATACATATACAGTGTAGTTCTTTGAAGTGGAAACTGAACAGCTGTGCTGATGTTGAGTTCAACAGACATAAAAAGGTCTTTATAGCCAGCTGTAACTAGGGGGTAAATAAAAAATGGCAACAAGCTCAGCCTCAAAATACTTTGAAGAACTTTACTTAAAGTCAAATTAAAAATCAGTTCTTGACTGAAACTAAACCAAATTAAATGACTGAGCAAATATTAATTCTGTTTGATGTATTAATCAACTACAGATGATATGAGTTTAATGTTATAAAGTTAGTTTATTGATGGTTCCTACCAACTGGGATTGACTTGATTATTCTCATAAATATAAATGACAATTTGGCTTGATGTCCTAAAACCATATTATATTATATATGTATATATATATATATATATATATATATATATATATATATATATATATATATATATAGATGTGTGTGTGTGTGTGTGTGTGTGTGTTTTTATATAAATATGCATGTGTGTGTGTGTGTGTATACACACATACATGTGTATGAACATTCATTCAACCTTTATTTAGACAGGTTAATCCCAGCTTTTGAACACCCTGGGACTTTGCAAATTCTCCCACTTAGAAATCATGGAGGAGTCTGAAATTTTCATCTTGGGTGCATGTCCACTGTGAGAGACATAATCTTAAAAAAAATAAATAAATCCGGAAATCACAATGTAGGATTTTTTAAAAATAATTTATTTGTGTGTTACTGCTGCAAATAAGTATTTGAACACCTGTCAATAAGCAACAGTTCTGGCCCTCAAAGACCTGTTAGTCCGCCTCTAAAAAGTCCACCTCCACTCCTCTTATTCTAAATTAGAAGCACCTGTTTGAGGTCGTTAGCTGCATAAAGACACCTGTCCACCCCACACAGTCAGAGCATTGAAGATAGGTCGTGGCTGGGTCTTCCAACATGACAATGACCTGAAGCACACAGC